AATTGTGAGGTTCGCATTAGCATACATTTATAAGAGTGGGGAAAAGTATATGCATTTTTTAATAGTTTTTTGAATATGGCTCTTTGAAGACGAAAAAGCAGACGAAAAGCATAGACTTACAAAATGACTGATAACTAAATAACTAATCAAAATTTTTGAAAAAGAAAAAAAATACTTCTTCATTATGTCAAAACACAATTATGGGCCGAGTTTCGTGCCCGGGCGAGGCTTCTGGGGCGATATATTGTGATTACAGACACACACACACACAGCCGCGTTTATTATTATGTATAGATTATTATTATTATCAGAAGTTCAATTTTTTTTTTCCAAAGTGCAGTTGAATATTTTTCAAAACTAAGTAATTTTTTATATCGTTACACTTAACATACTACATTCGAGAATCAATTAACCAGGATGCTTGGGACTATCGCTATCACGGATGTCTGAATTCCCCGGTTTTCTGGATCGGCCAAAAGTGAAGTTAATCGATGTTTTATCAAACCCAAATTACAAGGATAAACTAAAACACATTTTAAAATAAGAAAAAAAACGAAAAGATCTCCTACATTAAAAAAAATGGTAGAAAAATAACATTTAAAAGGATAAAAACACTTGCAAGTTTAGACAAGAAAAACAAGTTTAAAAAATACAAAATTCGCATATTTATTTTTTGATAATAATTAAAATCTCCAAATTAACTAATATAAAACAAAACCAATAATTAAAAAAACGCAGTATATTTTATACTTAATTATATGGGAAAGAAACGATGAAAGGAAAACTTATTAATCTAAATAAAAACACTTGAAAATTATCGAACGGAAACGATATTTAAAAAAGGCACTAACATAAGCATTAAAACCTGGAACAAGGCAGGATATTATAAGATCAATGGAATTAAAAAAAAAAAAAAGACCAACTTAATGATAAAATTTATAAATAAAAAAATTAATTTATTGAGTACCAAATTAATCTTAAAAAGAAAGAAAAAAAACTCAAATCAGAATAACAGAATCAAAATTTAAAAAAAAGAAAACTGCTATATGCTTTATAAAATAATCATCTGCTTTTATTAACAAATAATTATATGCTTAAATTAATAAACAATCTTCGCCTTTTATTTTATTTTTTATAAAAAGACTTATTTTTAACGAAAGCAGATGTGATCCCACATCAAGAAAAACTTGCTAATGATACCGCATTTCTAAAAAATCAGAATTTATTTAAAAAAATATATACATTGTTTTGTTAATCAATGTCAAATAGATGAATATAACTGGTAATTAAAAAACGTTTTGTTCGTAGTAAATAATGCATTATCTGAAATAATAAAACAATTCATCATAATAAATCAAGGATAGCAAAAAATGAGTAACTATAGTGAATTTAAAATAAATCTCACATGGCAGTACTCTTAGTCAGAAGTTTCAAGTTCCTTAACTCGGACATTCATTGATATGCCTGTGCAATGCATTTTCCCCACCCCCTCATAAATCAATGAGAAAAGGAAAGCAGCATGCCACTCCTTTAAGTTTGATTGACGGCAGCTTATCAGAAAAACAACTCATACACAGGAGAAAAATAAAACATTTGTCCCTTCCCTGCCCCCTCTCGATCTAATGATCTTCAAGGTCAGGGGAAGAATTGAAGTTTCTCTAGGCAAACAAGGAGAAGAATTCCCCAATTTCCCTCTACTCAATTTCAAGGATGACGAGTCAAATTTCCATTTTTTTTTTATAATTGTTACACTTCAAAATAGCGGGAAAACCAAGCAAAATTCTTCCCGGTATTCTGGCTTCCCGGATACCGGATAAATGGTTCTCTACTGTATAACAAAGTTCTTATATAAAACTATAATAGTTATAAATTTCATAAACAAAATGATTTATTTTCATAAAAGAATACTTTTAAGAATAAAAATTAAAGCTGAATGTGAGACAACCATGGGTGAACAGAGTGAGCAAATCCTCCAAGTACTATTATTAAAAAAAAAAATCACCTTCTAGTGTAATACAGTCCAGATTGGAAGTCCTTGCCATTTGAGTAGCTACTTCTAAACTTCTGCAAATCAAAGTTTTTCCAAAGATGTATTTCATTGCTCTTTCATGCTTTGGCTCATAAGTTAATTTGCTTATCATGGGAATAGCATCCTAAATGCAGAATATAATATCATCAACAGATTGTACAAATAAAACAAATCAAAACATTCTAAGTGAAAAGACAGGAACTCACGGGAAATTTCGGCAGTAAAAACTTATAAACAACAAATGTAAATGTATCAATTATTAGATACGAATTAATAAGGACATTGATTGTAAAAAATTATAACAATAATTTTTGTAGTTTAGATATGAACAGATTTTTCTGTCACTGACATTGCGTGATGTGTTTGGCTTCTTGCAAGAGTTAACCAGCATTGCACAGAGACTGTTACTAGTAGAACATTGAATGAAAATTGTTGTTGGACACAATTATTGATCTTAAGGAGATCAAAAAATGCTAAAATGTTTAGATGCCTGAATGAAATTTTTATAAGCACAAGTTTCTTTTTTGAATGCATATTAATGAAAACATATGTAACCAGGGCCCGCTCTAAGGATGTTATATAATTAGCCAGTAATAGAGCCAAATATCAAAAGTATTCACCAGTTTTTGAAAAATGATTTTCTTTAAAACCCCTTTCACTCCTAAAATCTACAATTATTGTTAACCATACAAGTTAGATACTGTTAAGTTTTCTTTCTTTCTTCTTTAAAAAAAAAAAAACTTGGGGAAGATGAGATCTTAGGCTTATTAGAGTAATAATAAAGAGTTAGCTTAAAAAAAAAAAAAAGAAGTTAAATTCAACTCACATTTGTATTTGGATATTGCATATCTTTATACATCAACCTGTTTAAAGGCATAAATGTAACTTCACCAGGGAACTGCTGACGATTCATTTCTTGGAGTATTTTAGTACCAATTTTGTCATTTTCCACTATATGGTAAAATAACCTGAAAAGAAAAAAACATTCAATATTTGCAAAAACAGTTCTTTTCACAATTACCTTGAAAAAATATCTTCATAAAATCTTATTTCTTAAGAGAAAACAGATTTTTAAAAGTTGTCAGACAAGTTAGATAATGTAATTATTTTTATAAAGCCTCAGATTTTGAAATTATAAAATTCAGTCAAGGTAGTACTTATAGAAGTATGCGTAACAAATATTGCTCACAGCCTAGCTGCTGACTTTAAATTAAAATTGTTTTCATGAAAGGCATGTAGAATTTTGTGTCAGCATATTTCAATATCCAATTTACATTTTATTAGTTTTATTTTAAAATTACCTTTTTGTTAAAAATAATCATCCCTTTTTCTATCAAGAAAAAGTATTTAAAGATGTCATAAGATATCAAATTTTAAAAAGAAATTGGCAAGTGTATGAATAATCTAGCATCACACGGTATTATCTCTCAAATATCAAAAACAGGACTTTTGGATGTCTTTAACTGGCTTTGAACAGGACGTATGGAATTTACTATCGAAAATTGGAACCATTTTAAACTGTACAAAATCGTCAAAAACTTATAAAATATTAATTTAAATGTATAAATAAATTATAAAAGATGTAAAGGCGATAAATAATTTCATTAACCCAAATAATAGTTATAAAAGTATGCATAAAATTCTTAATAGTTTTTAATAATTAAAGCAGAAGCTATTTTGTTTCCTTTTTGTAACACAAAATGACACAATTTAGTGCTGTTATCATATTTTTTATCTTATTTATTTAACTTTAAAATTATCTTAACCCTTTAATGCAGAAATTTTATTAAACATATTTTTCATTACTTTGGATTAATTAAGGCGTAAATTAGTGAAAAATATTAAATTTCCCATTTTAATAATTTAAGGTTATGAAAGGTTTATTTAAGGCATGAAACACTAGCCTCTTTTCTGCATTAAAGGTAAAATCTTCCAAACATAGCTCACTTCCAAACAATTATTTTTTGAATTCACACTTAATTGAAGTTTGTTAGATCTGAGAGAAATAACTATTCATCATTGGAATTTTTTTAATTTACAAAATCAATTATTGATTAATTTTTAAATATGAATAAAAAAAATTTCAAACTTCTTTTTTTTGGATATTAGATTTCAGTACAAATATCATTTAGACAATCAGATTTTTTTAGAAACTATTAGACTACTTTTTAAAATTAAAAAATTGCCAAAATATATTTTTGCTTGTAATTAGAGAGTCAAAAAGTCCCATCACCAAAGTCACCAGTGTCCCATTTGCATCTAAGGGTTAGCCCACGAAGAAAAAAAAGTTTAACTGGCTTAAGCTTAAAAGTTCAGGAAAAAAATTGATCTTGGTATAGGTAAAGTTTTTTTTATTAAAATTAGAAGTATGTGTATTTTCAGTACAGTATATTTACATATTTTAAGAAATAATTAATTTTAATTTGCAGGTAATAGATCCAACATATTCACTTATGACAGAGGTGTTGCAAGATAGAAAAATATCACAAATATTGATGTCATGAAATATATATACAGTCGGATCTCTATTTAACAAAGTCGATAAAACCTGATAATAAGTTCGTTATATGGAAAATTCGTAAAATAGAACATTTCCTTTTAAAGTACATAAACAACACAAAATAGATTTTAAATTCATAAACACTAGACATAATTAAAATAGCAATTGATACACTTTCATCTTGCAAACTAGAATCTACTATTTATTTTATTAATCTTAATCTTAAAGAAATCTGCATGGAATGCAAGAATAGAGCAAAATATTATTCAGTGTTACACAATCATCCTACATACATTTTCAACTAAAAAAAGCTCAATTTATGTATAAAATTATAGCTGCATTTATCATAAAAGTAATTTTAAACATACATTACCACATGCGTTCTTTAACTTTAATTGCTACTGAATAAAATCCATTAATTTTGTCTAAGTTTTTGGTTTGAAATGCAAACAAAAGCGGAAAGGGATTTTACTGCTTTCTCTAAATGTTAAGTGGCTTTGAAAATCAATTCAAGGTTATTTCCCCAATAAAATGCGTTTACAAGTTTGAAATGCTCTTAAATATTTTGGGAAATAAGGACTGTGGAACACAAAAAAATTTTTGTTAAATTGAAAATTTACTTCACTATTTGGAAGTTATTTTATGAAGAATTTTTCAAAATGTTGTTGGTTCCTCGAAAGAAATTTGCAATATGGAAGTTTGTTAAATAGAAGTCCGACTGTGTATATATATAT